ACTTGCATCAAGATCTGGACTGTAATTTTGCCAAGCTCACGAAGCGCGAATATAAAAATAAACAAAATATATAATAATAATAGTCACATGTTGTTTCTTAAGAATATTTTTAAGAAACCTTACCCTTATTATTTTTTAGTATATAATTGTTCCAATCAGCTGATGCACTTTCACAGATATTAAGCTGTTTTGTTACACCCAGGGCTTCGAAATGTAATTTTTTTGTTCCGGTTCAACTAAAAAGAAAAATATCGGTTGAGTTCCGATTTTCATCCCGCCAAAAATATTGGTTGTCGGTTCACTTCCAAATGAATAATTTTATTATATATATATTCTTATTTGTACTAAAAATGTAATTCTATGAAAATTTAGAAGACTTTATTCCTTTTTTTAATTGGTACACTATGTGGTACACTATTAATATACAATTAACCAGCATGTACGATATGACGAGCGAGCATACAACGGCGAGCATTGGCATTGTTATCCATTATCAAAATCACATTTGACAACTAGGTTCATGATTATGTTGATTGTGCATGCCTTTATCGCGTGACACTTGCCATTTACATTGTGCACTTGGCCTTTCAATAATTCTCTAAAAAGTATTTTTATTTATTTAATATATGAAAATTGTCTCTAATTATTAATATATCTTCTAACGTGGTTTCACTGAGATTACTTCTGTTGTCTCGGTGAATAAATTTCAAATCTGAAAACAGCCTTTCAACGGTATCTTTTGTAGCTGGAGCTGCCAAAATCACCATTGCACAAGTGCGGATAGGTAATTTGATTCTCTTCTCAGAAATCTAAAGTATTATTTTTTATTGTGAGTCTTGGTACGTTTTCAAAATTATTTAAAATGAAATCAATGTCAATCTTGGTAGAAATAGGGGATTTATGTATTTTTATTGCCAATTCTTTTATTCAATGATAATGATTTATCATTTTCATCGCTTTCAGTAGAAGATTGTCTTTTCTTGTTGACGACTGAGATGGATTTTTCCAAAAATTGTAATTTGTTCCAAATATTCTTTAAATGTTACACAGCCTGTACTTTTTCTGATGTGGAAAGCAAAATTTGATAAATGTCGGATATACTGACATCTTAAGTCTTAATTCTAGGGTAATCTCCCATTTGCTGGTTTTTTTAAATGGCTCTTCTCAAAAAAAAAAAAAAAAATTGAAGTGTGTATTTGGCGATATTTTAAACTGTGTTTAATCAAAATTGCATTAAAGTAAGCATTGAAAAGAAGAGGTTTTGGTGTATTTTATTCAATTAGTTTGAAAATAAATGCTGTGAAAAAGTGCTGTGTAGTGTACAGAACAAATAGATTTTAAAAATTAATACACAGGTGCTTACACTATCAGTAATTCAATATCAGAAGACAGAGCTGTATGAGGTTTTGGTAAAAAAGGTGGCTGCCACAGGCACAGCTGAGAATGAGGTGCAAAACGAAAGAATAGAGAGTTGGTTGAAAGTTACATGTGATTTTTAATTTAGTCTTTACTTGACTATTTACTTTTAGTTGACTATTGAACTTACTCTCCATGAATTAATACTGCCAGTCACTAGCCTTTTTATGTCTTTTGACCAATTAGACAGAGACGCATGTGTCACAATCCCTTTCTTTGTTAGGGCTGGCACCGCACTGGATATTTCCTGCTCAACAGCTGGTTTGTCTATCTAAACAGTCTATACGAACTTCCGTGGATGATCGCATGCTGAGATGTGAAAAATATAACTAAGAATGACATTTTTCTTAAAAAAAAAAATCTTCTATATTTCTAGTTCATTCAACTGAATTAAATCTGCCTTCTACAAGTAGTTTCATGTGAAACTGAAACAGAAAAGTGCTAGTGAACATCAAAACAGGAAATCAAGAAGCAATGTACATGTAATGATGATAATTAAATGGTTGACGTTAAATTAGAAAATATTTATACGTTGGTTACAGTAACAAAATGACTGAAGATATATTGAACCAAAATAAACCAATATTTTTTTTCGGTTCAGTTCCAGTTTTCATTCCGACTAAAATAATGTTTTTTTTCTGGTTCGGTTTATGTTCTGGAATCACTGAACCAATTTTCAACATGGAGTCTTTTTGAAATTTTTAACTTTGCTCCTCCAAATATTTTCATTAATATTAAAGTTTCATGTTGTGGCCATTTTTGCATACTCATTTGTCAGGTAAAATACTTCTTTCTTGAAAAAATGGTATGGCATTCACCTCATTACTTGGTAAATTAGATTGCCAATGCTATATTCACAAACTACCAAAAAAAAAAAAAAAAAAAAAAAAAAGTGAGTATATTTTTAATTAAACAATGCAAATTCAAAAACCTCATAAAAAATGAATAATATAAGAACATGCGGCAAGAGCAAAGATGCAACATGGTGCTATTTTATGATTACTTGCCGAGATATAAGAACTCTCAGCAAGTTTTAATATATGATTATGTGGCTAGGCAGATTTTGACAGAGCATGCAGCCAGATTTTGACAAGGTATCTTAGTTGATTGTTGATTCAGTCTCGGGAGGAGGTGTTTTAACAAAGAAGTATCAAGGGGAAAATTAATCATTTATGTATTGAAAATAATTTTGTGCTTTAATTTTTCAGAATTTAATTTGTTTTGAAATTTTTAAATTGTACCATAGTGAATTGAGGCATTGAAGCTAGACTGGGCAAGGTATTGTTGTATTTTACTTAACAGAATTAAAATCTCAAAATAATAAAATTGTGGTTATGTTATCAGAACCAGTTATGGATGGATAGATGTATTTATATATACAGTCTAAAAGTCGTTAATCCGGACTCGCCGGGACTTCGGCGATTCCGGATTATCGATTTTTCCGGATTATAGATCATCAGTTTAAATCTCGTAAGATGGCATGCACAAATTCTAAAATTAAAATATGAAACCGTATTTTAGGAAATAAAGAACAATTTTGATCTAAAGGGTATCAAAATTTACAAAAAAAGAAGCTTAATATTTATTTGTTTACTTTATTAAACATTTCTTTCAATGTAAGTTGTTTCGTTTTATGTGATAATACTTTCTCTTTAATTCTATAAACAGACATAACTTCTTGTTCAGTTAAAAAGCTCCGCTGTTCAAGTCCCGTAATTGCTGTGCCGAGAATACTGACTAACTTGTCAATCGAAATTTTTTCGTTTTCAATAACCTCTCTGTCACCTTCTTCATGTCTTTATCCATTTTTTGCAGCAATTCCACTTTTTGTTTGACGGACATCGAGACATACTTTCGTTTTGTAGATCCTTTGGGAGCTCCAGAATCGGAAATTTACATAATCGAAGACTTTTATAAAATTGCTCTTACAGTCTGCAAAAAATAATAAGCTGCATCCAATTCGAAGATTAAGGAATAACGCAAGCATCAACATTAACTGAAATAGATAATTGTATAATTTTAGCTTATACCGTCCGTTATACGTTAAACGCGCATGCAAAAACGTATTCTGCACTTGCGCACACGCATATGCGCGTGCAGGTAAAGGTCTTACGCGCACGCGTAAACGCCTATGCACATGTGTCAACACAGCGCATGCGCAGAAAGTTTTTAGTTTTGAGGTCCGGATTATAGATCATTCCGGATTATGGGTGTCCGAATTAACGACTTTTGACTGTATATATATATGTACATACGTATGTATCTGTGTGTGTACACACTGTGTGTGTATACATATACATACACACGTGCATACATGCATACACTTTTGAATCTGGTCCTGTTAACAGAAGAGTACCAAAAATGCTGTGTTAGTGCTTGTATATTTATATGAGGTTGTTTCAGAGAGGTAGCCTGCACTTTAAATAAATAAAATATTTTACCAAATGATCAATTAATTTTTATTCGGTAGTTGAATAAATACCTTTTTAAGTCAGTTATAAAACAAACACTGGAATATTCATTTTGTGGGAAAAAGCAACTAATTATTCAAACTTCATGATTATCCTCGCCCTTTCTGAAAGGTCATGAAATCATTAGACTTTGAAGAGCATTTATAAACTTAATGTATGAAATGATTTAAAAATAAGTTATAATAAATATATAAGTTAATGTATGAAATATAAGTTAATGTATGAAAGACTGCATGCAGTTGCTTTCAAAATGGTGGCACCCTAAGAATTGCATACAAAAGCCACGAATCAATAAAATTAAAAAAGGAAGAAGCACCAGTAATAAAACAGTTTCCTTTTTGAGAAATTATTCTTTGCTGGGCTTTTGTTCTTTTTATGGACATAGTGAATTGTTTTCATAAAAAAAAAAAAAAAAAAAAAAAAAATTGCAGAACTTACCATCTGTGTAGTTCAGCATCATTGGATACTGTCCTGAATAGATGTGCATCCATAAATTGTCAGATAAATATTTTTTGGTAACATCGTAGGTTGCCACTTAACTATTTTGCCAACAGACTGCTTTGCCTCATGCATATTTTTTCATGACTTTTTGGCAGGGATGTGTCCATTTTAACAGCCATTTATTATTTAACTTGGCTATAGAATTTCTTGCACATGCATTTCTCATAAGGTTTTATTAGATTATGGCAAGCCTTGAGGGCTTTCTGCCTAAAGGGAGGGATGCCTTTTTGGAGAACTTTCTAAGGGAAACTGACTCATACATGTTACACATGGGGAAAACCACGGAAATGCCATGCAGCCAGCCCATTGTTGGGATTCGAACCTTGGACTGAATTACTAGTGTTCAGCGACTTTACCACTCAGCTGCTGGTGGACCCCTGCCTTTCCCACAAGAAAAAAATGTTCTGATGAGACATAAATTGCCACTATCTGTATGTTTCTTTCAGTTATTTTAATTAGATTATTTTTAAGTATTAATATTGTTTTTCCTTCATTTTGTTTGCAATTTTGTATTTAAAAGTACTGTAGATTCAGAAATTGGTGGTGGTATCTAATATTTCTTTAGTTGTAGGTGATTCAGTTTTATTTACAATTAAAAATTTTCTTTTTCAGGTATTTTGACAGAAACCAAAGTCATTCATTTGAAGTATGTAGTGTTTTCTTTTTCTATTTTAAAAGCATAATCAGAAAATTATTTTAATACTATATATTTAATTATTTTATTTTAAATTTAAAATCCAACTTTTTAAAATAAAGTAACACTGCATTGATGGATTTTTATCTTATTTATTTTTTTTAAATTTTCAAACAAAGTACAGCTTGAAATATTTGTGTCAAGGTTTAAGATTATGGGGAATATTTTAAGTCCTGACACACTTCAAACTATCAAGTTTCTTCCTAAAGAACCTGATTGTAAGCAGTTAAATTACTACTGCTGTTGAGTTACTGGTATTACATATGTATGTACAGTACCTGCTGCTTATTAAAATCCCTTCTGTTCCAACATGTTGAGTTTTTAAATGGCTGAGTTTAACATAGAGCAGTTTGTGTATTGTAGACTATGATAACAGTTTTAAACTTAACTAGTAACCAGCAAACAATCTAATAATTAATACCTAAGTTAATAATTACAAATTAATGCTAAGGTTATGCAACTTTGAAAGATTTTCATCAGTTACATCATATAGAGTGTGTTTACACATTTTTAGAATGAGTTGGGGGCCATTAAATTAATGTTTAAAATGTAGAGTATTTTTTTAGATGTTTGATCCAATAGCCTCCTTTTTTTTTTTTTTTTTAAGACTGTAAGTCCAAATCTTGATTTTCAGGATAGAATGTCTCTTCATAAAATTTCCAGAGTTACTCATTTCCATTTTCAGTACTTTTCAGAGTTCATCAGTCATGGTGGGTTTATATTTAGAAAGATCTGTTTTCAAAGAACTGTTTCAACTTTTTTGTAATACTATAGTCAGTTTTTATTCAGATGTTAGATATTTTCAACAACTGCAACATTCTAAACATAAGTCTATAACTTCAGTTAATGTCTGAAATGGTGGCTATAAATTTCAATCCATTAGGGCTACACATTTACATCTGTAAATAAAGGTAATTTTTTTAAAGCAATATTTAACTGTGTTTTGACTATAAACACACATGGCATCTAGCAAAGATATAGACTTATCTTCTTTGAAATGCTTCCATTTTAACAGGATTCAAATTTAACGTATTTTTGAATGACATCATTTCTATAATAAGAGTTAAAAGCTTTTATGATAGCCAGGTTTAAAGGCTGAAATGGTAGAAGTTGTATTTTTAGGAACACTAGTTTAATGTTTTTGTGAATGAGATCAGAGTTCTATGCAGCACAGTTATTTAACAATTTAACAGTTTTCATTTTTCAGTTTACTGTGCCATTTCAAAAGGCAATTAGTAAAATTACTAATTTCTAATGTTTTGTTGCTATGGTAAGTTAGGCATTAATTCTTATTGCTATGGTGAGTTTGAGTGAAAACTAAACATTGAGACTTTTGGTGTTTGCTGTTATTAAGTAGTGTTTTCTTAAGTGTTGTTCCATATTCCATATCATTATTACAATGACTTGTTCTTTCAGTGTGTTAAAACTAGCTATGTTTCACTACATGATTAAAAGAAAGCTTAATGTATACTCTAGTAATGCTCTGTAAAACTAGCCAGTTTAATGTGTATTACAAATTTCATATGGCTTGTATTTAGCATCTTGGGTAAAACGTCTTCTATCCAGTGACCATTTGCATGATAATCTATGTGCCTTTTGCTACCTTTTTGATTAACAGTATTATTTCTCTTTTTATTCTGTAAGCCATCTATCAGCTGATGCAGTGTTCTCCATTTGTATTTTAATGTGAATTCCACAGCTATTGGGTCAAAAGAGCACTAGAAATAGGGATATCTTTTAGTCTTAAAGCTTGAAACCATTCTAGAAGAGCAGTTTCAACATTTTTTTTTCCCTTTCTTTCTTTCTTTTTTTTTTTTTTTTAAATTAATTCTTCATCAGTTACAGTTTGCTCTTTGAGAAACTACCTGTTTAAATGCATCTTCTTTCTTGCAGCAGTTGCTAAGAACATCATAATCTCTTAAATATATATCCTTTTCTTTCCGGCTTAGATAATTTTGCATAGGCAGTTTTGACAGACATATTACATATTATATGCATATGGCAGTTTGAAAAATGCTTCTTTTCCAAATTTATTCAGTTTCAGAATTCATGTTTCTTAGCCAGCTGAAAGATCGTGTTTTTCTGTTATGTTGATTCCCCATTTCATGGTCACAGGCTTGATTAATATTTTTGCTTCTTCAGCCTACCACTCCTTTTCCACTTAAAGATTGATAGCGTGTGACAAAATTGTGGAACATTTCATGAAGTTTTCTGAGAATTTTCTATAAAAATCATATATGTATATCGGTAGGAAGATTGGGGATGCATAGGTTCCACTTTCCTTACATTAAAGCTGGAGTTTGATAAGGAACACTACCTCATTTGCACTGCCTCTATAGGATATTTGTCATCAACTCTCACATGAGGAGATTTTTCTAGTCTCAGCTGCATTTTAGGGGGGGGGGACTTTCCAAGTAGTGTCTGACATGGGCTGGAGGGGAAAGAACTACGCTAGCCAAAATTTTGTCCAAACTGAAGCATTACATTCTTAAACAATAACCCCGATGAATAAATAAGCCATAATCCTTGATAAGTTTAATGTATAAACTGCAAGCAGTTTTGGTTAAGTACCAGCAGGATACTTTGGTATTGAAAAATCAGTACTTTCATCTGTTCGGCACTTGCCAAGCATTTTGTTGGATTCTTTTAATTGTAAACAATTTCTAAATATAAGAATGTTTATAGGTGGCAACATACTTATTTCATATATAACATTTACACTCATGTCCATAAATTAAGGATAATTCGGAGTCACGGTGAAATCGAACTCTAAAATAAATATATCACCTGTAAAATCGTTACACACATCTTCAAGAATCATATGCAAATTTCAGGAAGTAACCAGATGACACCGATGTTTCACAATGACGAGAGTGTAAGAGAGTGATGTATAAGGAATACAGGCAAAGAAGTAAAATTGTTCGCAGGTGCTTTAAAAGCATTTCAGTGAGATAACCGAATAGTTATGACACAAAGGACGCATTTGGATGATATTTTACGTGGTAGAATTATCGGCCGTCTGGAATGTGGGTGTACCCAACTGGAAGTATCAGACGAACTTGGAATTGCCCAGAGTGTCATCTCCTGGCTTTGGCAACGATTCCAAGATGATGGTAATGTGAGTAGACGTTACAGCACAGGTCACCCCAGAGTTACAACCGAATGAGGACCGGTATTTGGCAGTTACTGCCAAAAGAAACAGGCGGAGCACAGCCTCAGACCTGTCTCGTGAGCTCTCTTCAGCCACTGGTACGACAATTTCAAGGCAGACCATGTACAGAAGCTTAGGGCAGATTGGTCTATATGCTTGTAGACCTGTCGGATGCGTTCCACTCACTGTCGCCTGCGGTTAGCCTGGAGTAGAGAGCATGCATTGTGGACACCGCAACAGTGGGCTTGTGTGATGTTTTCCGACGAGTCTGGGTTTAGCTTGCAGTCTGATTCTCGCCGAACGTTCATGTGGAGAGCTCCAGGTACCTGTTACCACCAAGAAAATAACATTGAACGTCACCATTACGGTGGTGCAGGAGTGCTCGTTTGGGGTGGAAATATTCTGGGTTCCAGAACTGACTTGCATGTTCAAATTGGAACCATGACAAGCCAAATCTATCGGGACGTCATTCTGGAACAACATGCATGTTTGTTTCAGGGCGCCATGGGTGCACAATTTGTGTTTATGGATGACAACGCCCGTCCTCACCGTGCAAACATCGTAAGCGAATGCCTTCAATCGGAGGATATTACCCGTATGGACTGGCCAGCATTCTCACCGAAATTGAATCCAGTAGAGCACGTGTGGGATATGCTTGACCGACGAGTTGCAGCCCGTCAATCTCCTCCTACATGTCTATGGGAACTTCGGAGAGCATTGCTTTTTGAGTGGTGTAATATCCCCCAAGATCAGATCGATAATTTGATACTCAGCATGCCTAGGCGTTGTACGGACTGTATTGCATCGTCTGAGAGACATACGATGTATTAACGATCATACCAACCATGTAATATTGGTTTTTTGTAAATAGGTTTTTTTTGTAATTTGTTCCAGGGAGAAAAAATCGCTAATTTTTTTAATAATATCGAACATATAGCATCTTTTTTTGCTCTTTACCTTGTGTTTAATAAATAAGCTTTACAAATAAGTCAAATTTGTTTTGCTTCTAACTCATTCTTTGCTTGATTTTGCATTATCCTTAATTTATGGACATGAGTGTACATGGCTTTTATTTCATAGCATTACATTATTAAAATAGCATTTATTATTGCTATATTTTCTGTTATGCACTTGCATTTTGGTGAATTCTTTTAACTGTAAACAATTTCTGGTTATAAGAATAGTTTATAGATGACAACATATTTATTTCATACATAATATTTATGTAGCTTTTATTTCATAGCATTATTACATTTAAGAATTTGTTTTATTTATAATTACTAACAAAACATAAGCTGAAATGTTTGGAGACAGTAGTTAGGAGACATAAATTTACAGATATCTGCTAGTATGGCTTCGAATGTATGTGATGCTAAGGGAGTTATGCCAAGTAGGAGTCAAAATTTTGATGGGCTGTGCTACTTTAATATTTATTCCTCAATTTAGTGCTGTCCTGAAAACGTTCAATAGATTGCATAAGACAACCCATGATATGGTCAGTAAAATTAAATGAATGGCTCTCAGTGAAGTGATTGTATCCTGCAGCTTTGAACATGGATGATTTGTAACCTTTCCTGCAGTCTGAGGATGTTGTTCCATTTGCTGTAGTTTTAGCTGAGCTATGTAGAATAGCGACTGTAAAGCAGTCTGTCATTTCTCTACCCAAACCCATGAAAACCCACTGTGAAGGTAATGCATAACCTACCTTATTTTCTTTATATGTGAACAAACTTTTGATAATTTTGTTAATATCGTGAATCTTTGCTTTAGGATGAGGTATCAAAGAATTGCAACAAACCTCTTTGATATAATTGTTTCAGTCCACAATCATGTAGTCATTTAATTGGAGCCTTTCATTCACAAAAATCTATAGAAATAACTCTTTGCATCAGTTAATCATAGACTGATGAGAAACAGAATGCACAAGTTCTTAAACCTCGAGTCTTTTCGGATACCTTTCTCTTCTCCGTATGACCGGAAATAGCAGAACCATTTAGGCTTCAGCAAATATTTGACTTTCATCTGATGCTTATTTAAACATGGTGGTTGTTTATCTTGAAATAATATAATTTCTGCTTTTTCATTGCTTGGTAAATTCCAAATTTTAAAATTCGTTGTTGAAAAATGCAAAAACACACAAGCCAATGAAAGCACACGAGAAGCAAATCAACAAAGGGTTTGGTCCTCAGATTTCACTATCGTTGGGTCTTAGCATGCGCTGGCTTCTTTTTCACTGTCAGCAAAAAGCGTGGCAGAGCATGATGGAAAAGTACAGAAGAATCAATCTTTTGCAATCAGTTTTCTAAGTAGTTAAAATGAGTTTAATAAACTCTAGTGTTTCTATTGGCTAGTATACATTTGTTTTAGTAGTTTGGAATTCGAATGTCATAATTGGTTGATTTTAGTAACCAGTGGAACTGTATAAAATGTACTGAAGAATTGAGCAATTTTTTTAAATGTCTCACATACAATAATTTTTATTAGCTAAAAAATATTATTACTAAATAATTTGCCTATTTTTTATTTTAGATATTTGTTTTATTACAACATTAAATATATTTATTTCATTTGATTATTTTCTTGTATATCAATCATATTTTTTTTTATTTATAGAACACAGGCAAATTCTCTAAACCGAATGATAGAACAAGCGAGAAAGTACGGGGATCACCGAGAAACAACGATGTATCAGGTAGAAACGATGTTTTAGAGAATAAGAGCAGCCCTCGCTACCACCGACCTTGCTCTCAGAGACTAAAAGATAAAGATCACAATGAAGGTAGAGATTAATTTGAATTTCATAGGAAGAAATGTTTGAATAGTTCCATAGTTTCATTTTGTTTTCATTTCTGTTAGTTTTTCTATAATAATGTTAAACTTTTTTCACATAAAATAGTTAATGGATATATGTAAATTTGATTTATTGTAGTATTTAGCAGTGTACTTTTATATATTCCGTGTAGTAACTTAGGATCTAGTCGAGATTGTTTTTCTGGTACTTTTCCGTTTTACCGGCACAGGCAATGAAGTCGCCAATAATGGTACAACTGAGGCCAAACAGAATATCCTCACTGGTTACCTTTTACGCCTCATTTTCAAAACAAGTCGCAGTCATTTTTTATCAGGTTCATTGTTTCTTTTAATACTGGCATACAATTACATAGAATTTTTAGCAGGTAGTCCAATTCTAAGATCATCCGTGGTATTTAAGTCAATGAGGATGCAATGACACCACACATCCGAAGGCGAAAATATAGAAAAGGCAAAGTCAAGGATTAAATTCATCAATTCTAATGAGAATGCAGTAGCGAAATAAAGCACTGCGGTTTTGTATAATTTCTGAGTAAGCTGTTCGTATGAATTGAAATAATTCTTGCATTTAAACTTGTATTCTAAATTAAGATTTAACTTGAAATTAAGGTAGATAATTACTGAGATAATTACATTTTTGTATCATTGTTTACATGAGATGAGATCACTTGTGGTCACGTGAAATGAACTGACAAATCAGGATGTTGAACCATGAAAGCATAACAAATTCTAAAATTAATGTCTTTTTACAAATTTATTGATTTTTATTTATTGGCTCTTTACAGAATTTTAAATGGTATTAAAATGTTTATGCCTTCAGAATAAAAGAATTCTTAGAACTAACGTCTGTTAAAAATTTTTTATATGTATACTGTATGTTGTCGCCAATAAAGTCTGCTTGGCGAGATTTGCGCCGGCGAAACGGAAAAGTACAGTTTTTCTTTCTTTTGGTGAAATGAATATCTGTGAAATATATTTGAAGTAATTATTTAATCAGGAATTGCTTTCCATATAAAGTATTGGTAATGAAGTGGTATGTGATCTACTGCATTTATTTCTTAAATAGTGCCACTAAAGCTTTTTTTAAATATGAAAATAAATGCTAGTAGTAAAGAATATGTAAAGAAAAAATATTCCATTAATTAATTCAGTAAGTTATTAAATTCTAAATTCCATTAAATTTAAATTTCTACCAATTTTATCAAAAAACTCTTCAAATATTGCATAGAATGATTAAAAATTAGTCTCCATTTTTATGAATGGATTTCAGTCACGCTTCTGTCAGATAACATGAGAGCACTTGCTGTGGGGTATTTCACATGTGTAGAATCTTTAGCTTTAAAATTACCCACCATTCAATTATTTGAGTTTGCAGGATTCTTAATAGCAATCCTGCCAATAGAAGTAATTTAATCGCACAAAAAGAAATCTTTAAAACAAACAATTGTAGTCGTGCCATCTAAAAAATAAGCAACTAACTAAAAGCAGTAGGTCATATATTGGTACTTTTCCGTTTTGCCGGCGCAAACGATAAAGTCTCCAATAATGGTTTAAATGATGCCAGACGGAATATCTTAGCTGGTAACCTTTTACGCCTCAGTTTCAACAAGTTGAAGCCATTTCTTATCAGATTGTTTCTTTCAATACTGGCATACAATAATATAGAATTTTTTACACGATATTTAAATTTTATTCCCTAAGACAATTCACGGTAATAAGTCAATTAGTTCTAAGTCAATTAGAACGCAATTACACCGCTCATCCGAAGGCGAAATCAAGTGTTAAATTCATCAATTCTAATGAGAATGCACTAGCGAGGTAAAGCACTGCGGTTTTACATAATTTCTGAGTAAGCTATTCGTACGAATTGAAATAATTCTTGCATTTAAACTTGTATTCCAAATTAAGATTTAACTTGAAATTAATGTAGATAATTACTGAGCGAATTAGATTTTAGTAGCGTAGTTTACGTGAGATGAGATCACTTGGGGTCACGTGATACGAACCGGCGAATCAGGATATTGAACCATGAAATCATAGTAAATTCTTAAATTAATGTCTTTTTACAAATTTATTGTCTTTATTTATTGGCTTTTTACAAAATTTTAAACCATATTAAAATGTTTATGCCTTCAAAATAAAAAAAAATTCTTAGAATTAACATTTTTTATGTGTATACTGTATGTTGTCGCCAACAAAGTCTGCTTGGCAAGATTTGCGCCGGCGAAACGGAAAAGTACCCATATATTTCATCATTACCAAAGTTTCAATTACTATAGAGTGATTAAAGAAAAAAGTTGATTATATATAGGGTGAATATAATTAGAGTGTAGAAGGTTTTCAAAATGCACCCAAAGATGGTGGTGTACTTATCAAATATGGGAATGAGTTAACCAGAGGGAAACAACAGCTACAGAAGAATGTCAGTTTAACAACACAGTGAAAGCTTGGCTCATCAACTTAATTCATTCTTGAAGACTATTTGTAAATCCTTGTGAATATGAACAAAATCCAATTCTTCAGCGCAAGAAGCCTTTTGGATAATTTTTGCAGATCCTTGTCAGTCAAAATTATGATTAAATTTCCAACTATGATACGCAATTGATGACTTGTTAATTTTGCCTTTTCGGACATAAGATTCATGTTCTTTGATACGAAACTTCAATGCTCTTTTTGTTTGGCCAATATATTTTAAACCACACTGACTTGATATACTATAAATTCCCTAAGAATTAAAGCAAGAAACGCAATCTTTTAGAATCGAACTGTGAATTTTATTGATAGAGGAGAAAGGGACTTGAAAATTGAATTTCTGAAAATCCGTGCAACTTTATAACAAAAGGATAAAATGGAAGCACGACAAGGTCCTTAATATTATTTCTAACAGTGGAATGTCTTCTTTGATGGGAATCTGAAAATTTTTTAATGGCTCTATCGATGATCACGGGAGAAAATCCTCGGTCGATAGCAACTGCTCTCAAATAATTAAGCTCATAGGTAAGCAAAGATTCTGAGGAACAAACTTTGAGCGCGCGAAATACGTAATAATAAAAAGAAGCCACTTTTTGCTTAACAGGGGGGCATGACTTAGCATGGGGTGGTAAACAAACTGCAAAGGGTTTACAGTGCACAATAGTGCTAAAATCAATTTCATTGCAGATTATAAGAATATCAAGGAAGGGGAGCGAATTGTTGGATTCAATTTCAAGAGTGAATTGGATGGCTGGATCAATTGAATTTATAATAGATAAAATCTGGGATAAATCTTCTTTATTACCATCAAAAAGCGCAAAAGTGTCGTTTACATGCCGAATCCAGAGACAAAAAGATAGTTTATCAAATAATTTCACCTCAAAATAGTGCATATAAATGTCAGCAAGTACAGGACTGAGAGGATTACCCATAGCCAATCCTTCAATTTGACGAAAATATGCATTTTGGAAAACAAAGTGGTTCCAAAATGCATATTTGCACTTTGTTTTCCAAAATGAGTACCGTAAACCCTTTGCAGTTTGTTTACCACCCCATGCTAAATCATGCCACCCTGTTAAGCAAAAAATGGCTTCTTTTTACTATTATGTATTTTGCGGGCTCGAAGTTTGTTTCTCAGAATCTTTGCTTACCTATAAACTTAATTATTTGAGAGCAGTTGCTATGGCCCGAAGATTTTCTCCCGTGATCATTGATAAAGCTGTTAAAAAATTTTCAGATTCCCACCAAAGAAAACATTCCACTGTTAGAAATAATATTAATGACCTTGTCGTGCTTCCATTTTATCCTTCTGTTAGTTATAAAGTTGCACGGATTCTCCAGAAATTCAATTTTCAAGTCACTTTCTCCCCTCTCAATAAAATTCATGATTCGATTCTAAAAGATTGTGTTTCTTGCTTTAATTCTTAAGGGAATTTATAGTATATCGTGTCAGTGTGGTTTAAAATATATTGGCCAAACAAAAAGAGCATTGAAGTTTCGTATCAAAGAACATGAATCTTAGGTCCGAAAAGGCAAAATTAACAAGTCTTCAATTGCGTATCATAGTTGGAAATTTAATCATAATTTTGACTTTGGATCTAATTATCCAAAAGGTTTCTTCGTTGGTGAATTGGATTTTCTTGAGGCTTTTCATATTCACAAGAATTTATCATGTTTAGTGAATGATTTTAAGTCCAATCCAGTCCTTCCTAACGTCTTTAAAATTCTATTATAATTCTTGGTTATTATTTTTGCTGATAGATGGCGTTGCCTCCTCGCATTTGGTACTACCGGAGGGTATAAAAAAGCTGCTACGGAGGTTGCTTTCTCTTTATTCAAAGTTTAGACTTGGTGCATTAAGGTGCAGTTGCCCCTTGCTTCTTATTTTTTGACTTCGCTGATTTTCTTGCGTTTTAGTCTATGTGTCATATGTTGATCATTTAGTCTGGCTCAGTAAAAGTAGTTGGCCATTGTAACTGATTCAAATTCCAGTTATGACCACATGTGTGCTGATAAGGACCACGTGTTTCTGAGACTCCTTTGCCAATTCTTTATTTTTCTTCTTTTTACCCCTTTCTAGGAATTTGGTTCTCCTGATGAGGAGGGACCTTTAGCTACCTTCGAAATCGATCATTTTAATAATTCTTATGCTAAATACAAGGTTGTTATTACGATTTTGATTTACTGTGTATACAAGTTTATAATGCAAAACAGTGGAACCCATTGGAAATCATTAAATATTAAATGGATAAAAATGGACGGAAATTTAATTTTACTGCTTTTCAATTTTTTGTATATTGAGACATTGCAGTTAAATTAGTATTCAATTTTTTTTTTTTGTGTATTAAGAGAGTGATGCCATAAGTAGAAAGTGATGATAAAAGTGTTCTAGTATAGATGCAAGATTTCCATTCTTAAAAAACGTCAGTTTTAGGGTCATTTAAGGGCTACTTTCTTCTATCTTTTCATCGACTCCACTTGAGACTTACTAGGCTT